TAGTCATTATTGGATTGTTCGTCTTGATTAACAGAATAATCAGTATAATCGCTTTCTTCATTTCCAAAATATTTTTCAGGATTTTCTTCTGAACTTTGTTCAAGAATGTTATTGATTTCTTCGATCGTGTATCTGGGTGGACCAGCATTTGGGTTTGGTCTAAAATAGTTAGACGGACCTGCTTGATTTTGTTGTGGTCTATACACTTAGGAAATTTGTCTATGACGTTGAATCGATACACCAGATATCGGTGTTGGTTTGGAAAATTGTTGATTTGGTTTGTTTTTAGCAAGCACATTTTGTTGTTTGGAAAAATTCTCTCCAAAAGTACCAGAGCTACTTGGAAATTTTTGTTGGTAGTTTGGTTTTGTCTGAACGTTGATGGGTTGAGATGGAAATTGGGGTTTATTATTGAAAATGTTTGTTGGTAATTAGGTTAGTTTGATAAGAAGTATGTGTATTTGTTTGAATGAAAATTTTTGATTAGGTTGATTATGAGTTTGGTGATGTGACTTGTTCCTATTTGTGTTAAACTTCATATGATTTTATGCTAAATGATAGTTTACAACAAATGTAGTGGCTGCATCCAGTGTTTCAGGATTGCGAATCATTAATATGGTAGGTACGTAATTCTACTGGTGAATTTGTTATCAAATTTTGAACTGCAATAATCTCATTTTGTGCGACTAGGATGTGTGAAACCGCTGCTAGATCTGGGTCACTCATTATTTTTGATGTAGGTAATTTTATGCACAAGAAGTTTAAGTCTTTCAAGATAACCAAATATATTTTTGCTCGTATACATTAATTCTTTTACATTCACCACAAGAAGAGGCAAGTACAGTATATTGCCAGGAAAAAATACTACAGAGGAAAACTTAGAACAGCGGGAATTCACTAAAGAAATCGTTAAAAGAACTTAAGAAAACAGCAGTACGGCCCAAGTATACAAAGAGTGCTGTTGAATAAATTGAATAATAATGAAAATATCAAAGAATTGATGAAAAAAGAAATTCTACAAGAACAACCTGAACAATTTAAATCCCTAACAAACACCAATAAATAAATTATGCAGTAGCAGAAACGATACAAAATAGAATCATCCCAATACCCAGATCAAAACAAACATGGAAGAGAAACAAAAATGAAAAAGGAGACCCACCATGGAAAAAGAGGTCAAACCAGAAAATAACCAACTACAGGAAAGCGCTATCACACGTCCTTGAATCTCGAAAGCCAAACTTGAGCTCTAAAATGAAACAGATAAAGATATAGTTCTCTATAATAAACATAAAATAAAGAATGTTAAAGATCATGCAACAATCATAGTAAAACTCAGAAAGTTCTACTACACAGTACTCAAGAAAAAGATAGAAGCCTATAAAATTCCCAGAAGAGATCGAGAAATACTGTAAAAACATATGGGAAAAGGAGTCGAAGCATAACAGCAAAGCAACATAGATACAAAATGAATATGACAGAACCACGAATTTGAACATAATAGAATGGGAGGACATAACTGAAGCCGAAATCAGAACAGCGAACACCTCCGCTAATCGGAAATGCTCTGGAGTAGACGGGATAGGAAATTTTTGGCTGAAAAAACTTACAGCTACAAATGGAAATGCCTACAACAGCATAATCAAAGAAAACTATACCTGATTGGTTCACAAAAGGAAAGACACACCGAATACCAAAGAATGAAAAGACTGAAGAACCGAAAAACTATAGAACAACTTATTCAAAACCCTGACAAAAATAATATCAGAGAGATTACATGTACATTTATCTTGAAACAATTTATTCTCTCCAGAACAAAAAGGACGTATTAAAAACTCATACGGCTGCAAAGACCATTTACTAACAAGCCATAAGCAATTTATGCCGACTGCAAAAAAAGTGGAAATAATCTATCACTAGCCTGATAGACTATAAAAAAGCCTTTGATAGTATTTCACACAGCTGGCTAATTGAAACACTTAACATATACCGTACATCACCGATGTCGCTCAATTTCTTATGCAAAAGCATGACCATGTGGAATACTGATTTAAACTTAACAGCAGACAGGGCAACCATCACAGTGAAGAATATAAAGATAAAAAGAGGGATCTACCAAGCTGACTCCCTGTCTCCATTACTTTTTTGTATTGCACTGTTTCCTTTGTGCGTAATTTTAAACAACACAAATACAGGCTACTAATGTAGAAACGAGAAGCACAAAATCATCACCTGTATGTTGATGACTTAAAGTTGATTGCAAAAAATGAAGAGAAACTAATCAAGCAATTCGATTTAGTAAAAAGATTCAGTGACGACATTTAAATGGAGTTTGGGCTTGAATAGTGCGCCAAGGCATCCTTTGAAAAAGGCAAACTGCAGTCAAAGGAAAACATTACACTCGATGATTCAATCATCATACAGTCACTTGAACTCCATGAAACTTACAAATACCTGGGCATTGACGAACAAGACGGAATACATTATGAAGTAATGAAAAGCAGACTGAGAAAAGAATACTATCGACGCACTCGTGAAATACTAAAAACCCAACTGAATGCAAAATACAAATTCACTGAAATTACATCTAGCAATACCCGTTTTATCATACAGTTTTGAGGCAATCCAATGAACGAAAGCAGAGATAATTAAAATAGCCTCGGAAACTAGAAAGTTACTCAACATCCATGGAGCACTCCACCCTAGGGCAGACGTCGACCGACTATACATCCCACGAAAAGAGGGAAGCAGGGGACTAACCAATGTAGAAACAACCTTTGAAACTGCAATAAAATGCCTACAAAATTATTTAACACTAAAGCAGAAATAAAAATACTTGGGTATAGTCTACCGCCAACGGCGAAAAAATTGGAAACAAGCAGACACACAACAAGAAAATGAAAAAATTGAAAATACAATCCCACAGGAGATAGAAACCAACAGAGTAAAAATCATAAAAGACATATGGCATAAAAATCCAAGACCGATGGATGGTAGCAAACACGTCCCTGGATCCTGTCATCGACACACCTGAAACAATGATAATCTGGGATAATCAATTGTACAAACCGACAGGAAAATAACTGCAAATAAACCAGATAGGTATTATTGTAAAAGACAAGAAACAAAAAACATGTCTTTTGATTGACATCTCAATACCATCGGATTACAACATCACTCGAAAGGAGACCGAGAAACGTCTGAAATACAAAGATCTGGAAATTTAAACTCAAAGAATGTGGAGTCCTCGGTGGAGTCTCAAAACCAAAGTCATCCCCATTGTCATTGGTGCTACGGGACTAGTATCCAATTATACATGCGAAATCATCAAAAACGTTCCTGGCAACCACAACATTCTAAGCATGCATAGAGCAGTTAGTAGTGCTGGCTGAACACTGATCACATAGTGCGAAAAGTTATCTAGTAAGACCTGCCATCATCTCAAAAGTGACCCCTTAGGTATATGGTATATATGCACCCGGTGTTTCCTCAGATAACATATCACAGAACCTGGAAACTGTGTAATGAGGAAAAAATAATAATAATAGGCAATAATAATAATAGCCGCAAATAAATATTTCAGGCACTTTAAAGCTTTGAGAAGCTTGTTCTCTAACATATATATTGATATATTCGCTACTTGTTCTCTAGATTTATTAAAAACAACACAATATTTTCTAATTTAAGTTAAGTATGAGGAAGACAATGTATTTTTATAATAAGATTTATTAAGAAGTCTCTGTCTGCTTTACATTTTCTGACTTGTAAAAGCACTTATGTGCAATTATTACCAATAAATAGACTAAACTAAACTACCAGCCCTTTCTTGTTTTTAATAAACCATGCATGCAATTCTCTTGTAAATGTATTATTACCATAAGGTAATACTTAATTGGTAAAATAATATACGAGCTAAACCTAATGAGGCCCTGTCAGAACATTGAATATTTTCCGCCCAGGTTGTTTCGGATGTTTTCCGGCCTTATACCTACAAAAAAGTTGTACCTATAGGCTCTCCCACTAATTTTAACACCCTCTTTTGATTGGAAGAGTGAAAGTTCATTAAACCACATCCAAAAAAGTTTAAACATTTTGTGTGATAAATTTTAGCAGGTTTAGAACATTTTGAAGCAATATAAATATGGTAGGTAAATAAGCCACTGTGACTAAACAGGAAAAATTTCATATTTCCGACAATTCAGTTATGCACTAAATCTCAATTACAAAACAACAATAAAAAGCTGCATCAGTATTATAAATAAAACGCAGGAGCTGCTAATTATCATGCAAACATAACAAAAAAAAAGTAATCCCTCTTTGTCGAATCAATTAGAATTTCAAATTAATGCATTATCATTGTCAGTGCGTTCAACGTTCAACATTACTTGATATCTATAATAACAATCTGCTGACAATAATTGAATACATTTTAATAACACCTAAATAGGCACAGTCTTATAAAATTACATTATTATTAAATAATTCACAATTAGAGTAGGTAATTACATACTTGCGATTGATTCTTTTGTCATCATAAAACAGTTAGAACACAAATATAAAAGTATTTAGGTATAAGTAACTAATCTAAGGGTATACGACACGATTTTGCGTGTGGTAAGTACCTTATTACCACATGGCGTGCTGTAATATCATTGCTATTACCGCACGCTGTACTGCCAGCGACGCAATTTTATTTTCTACAATATTCTAAACTTCTTCCAGATATTTTGTTACCACACGGTTGTACATAAAATACTGTATATTATAATATGTATGGTAATTAGGTTATTACCACCCTTAAAGATTGCAAACCTCCTTCACCGGCTCGGTTCGCAAATTTCTCTCGCGTGCAGTAATAACCTAATTACCACACTTATTACCTACATAATATAGGTACTATTAAACCAGAACCACTAACCAGACACTTTCCAATGTAATGTGTCAAATATAATAATATATATCATATAAATAAATAAGTTCAAATTATTGTTCTTTTTCAGCCCTTTTCTATTATGACACTGATTCAAGTCACACCAGAATAGAGCACTCCATCCACATTGAGCTGGAGGAAAACTCACACAACCCCAGAAAACGGGACGTAGAAGTAGAAAGTCCATTGACAGTTACATCTAGTACTACTGCAGCAGTTGCAGTGGTACAAAATAATAAGTCCGAGAAAGTAGTACCGTGGGTAAGTTATTATTTATTATATTGTGCCATTTAAAGATAATTTGTTGTTTCGAGGCGTGGCAATATGCGTTACACATTTTATGAAATTTGCAAGTTTATTAATTTCTCATATACCTATTTGTTCTACTTATAGTTTTTGTTATCAATAGTTGGAATTATGTTTACATGCTTAGGAGGGCATAGTAGGTGGTAACACTTGACTGTATAGGATTTATGACTATTTAACATGGCAAATGATGATTAGTTTTAGTTTAATATATTTATAAATAGGTGTACACATTAATAAAGTAAAATCAAAGAGCTAGGAAATCAGGGGATAGGTACATGAAGTATTTAGTGTTGAAGTTCATCTTAATTTCGAACAAAGTTGAGGCTCAAAATATCTCATCCTATGACTAGTAGATATAATGAGAAGACTAATTCAGATGGCTGTTAAACAAAAAAAATTAAATAAGAAAAAGTGGTAGTACTTAAAAGTTTCTCACAAACCAATTTCAATTTGTACCTACTCAGAATCTAAAATTTTATCAATATCCATTTTTTTTTTCAGAAATCTCAACCCAAATTGACTCCACCAATCAATCTATCAAACAAACAGTACAGTATTTTGGGTGCCAATGGTACCGGACAAAGACGCAACATTTCCCTACCTAAAGAACCACCTAGTTTAACGCACAATATTGGACCTTCGGTGAACACGCCTGTGAAAAGCATTACAGAAACCACTGTTAGCCATGAGGATGAAGCTACAATATATCCTGGTAAACTTACGCCAGAAGAAGTGGAAGTGGGGGACGGAATCAATGAGAAGGATTTGGATGAGAATAATATAACCGACTTTAAAACGGTATGCATATTTGTTTATCAACTTCTAAATCTAAATACCATAGTGTGAGGAAAAAAGTGTTTCAACATTTGTCTTTGCATTACTGCTCATTCTTGTGCTCAGATTAATGGTTACTTTACTTATTTATCAATACTAAGGACGATATTGAATATTTTAAACCAAGTCGAGCAAGACTAAAAAGAGTGACAAAAAAAAGATACAGGCGTTTAGTGCCCACATATAAGGAAATTAATTGCAGATAGAGATGAGAATTAAAGCAAATTTAAAACTACAAGCAGTCATATAGATAGGGAAGAATATAAAAAAAGTAGAAACCACAGTTGCACAAGAAAATTGGGTGAATGCTAACTCGCCTATAGTTAAATTTTTGCCTTTCCCCTAAAAATAATCGAATTTCCAGGACAATCACATTTTTTACAACAGCACAACCTACAACGATCCAAACATTGGAAAACAATTATGGGTGGACCTGGAAAAACGCAGTGACGTCAAAATCAACGATTTACTATCAGCTTCACACAGACGAGCAGCTGTAAGTGATATTACAAACAGCCAAAAGTGATTCTTTTTATTTATTTACTTTTTTTTACTATCAGACTGTCAAGCTCTCTTTTGAATTCCCATTTTACGGACGCTTTATTAAAAACGTTACAATAGCTACGGGTGGATTTTTGTATACCGGCAACTATGTGCACTCTTGGCTGGCAGCTACTCAATATATAGCTCCTTTAATGGCTAATTTTGATACTGGATTGTCTAATGATAGCTTTGTTAAGTATGTGGACAATGGTAAATAACTATAAATGTTACAGTGTAGCTCTATAATTCTAAATTTTGCCATTCCAGGTACAGCTTTTACTGTTGAATGGCAAAGAGTGGCGCTTCAAGACAAACCATCTCAGGAGTTTACGTTCCAGACTACCTTACACAAAAATGGCAATATTGTATTTGTTTACAAGAATATTCCATTTGCCATTGAAAATATCAATGATCAACTTCATCCTGTAAAAGTGGGCTTGTCCGATGCTTATATCTTGGATCGGACTGTTTTCTGTAAGTAACTAATGATTACTAGGAGGACGTACTGTATGCAATCGTAATATTTTTAGATGTTCGACGAAAAACTATTTACGAGTACCACCGTGTAACATTCAACAAAGAAGAAATCAAAAATTGGACCTCTATATACTTGACAGCCTTGCCAACTTGTTTGGACTTACTCAATTGTACTTCTTGCACTTATAACAAGCTAAATATGAATGTAAGTACATATAAGAATACATTTCCACCGCTAGAAAAATCATATTTTTTTCTCTAATATAGTGTACTTGGTGTCCCAGTTCGAACCAATGCTCTACGGGTCAGGACCGCAACAGACAATTTTGGATAGATAAAGGCTGCGAACTGAGAAATATCACTTCAGAGCCCAGTTGCTTTGACGATGAAAAACTTAGTGACAGTTTAAACTATGAGGTCCAAGAGGCGAGTAAATTAATGGACGATGATTATATAGGACGGGTACCAAGACAGACCAATAATAGGCTGGGAACGTCCGGATATTTGGCAGTCATATTTTTGATTGCCATGGTTGTTGGTATCAGTTTATGGGGCGCGTATGCTTATAAAAATCCTCATACTACTAGTGGACAGATTTTGATAAGGGTAAGAAGTGAATGTAATTTGCAACTTTTTTAGTATTATAATTCAATCAGGACAATTTTGGTAAACTTCACAAGATTCAGCTGTCCTCGGATACGTTATCCAGCGCAATTCTTGAAAGTTTTCGCACGTCTTTTAAAGTTTGATCTATTTTCTCTAACTATTTTCAGAGGCTCTGCTTTTAAGATATCAATTCAGGTAATTCTGTTTCATTTAGGTCTAGAATGATGGGTGGCGTCTCGCTGGCGTTGTCTATACCAATCACATGAGTTTTTAAAAATTGATCAGTTCAGAAAAGTAATCTCCGAAAACACCTGCAGTTATTTCTTGGTGGTATTCTTTGGTTGATTTCAATTTAAAAAGTTAGTTTTGCCCTGCCGCCTTTACCAGGCTGTCCATAAAAGCCTGACAAGAACTTTCGTCTTCCCTTTGGACCGGTGAAAGCTTATGTTAATTTAATTTTTCTTTATTACTTCTTTGCGTAGCCCTACAGCTGCTCAGATAAAAGGTTTTGGAGGCAATAGGCGATGATTATTTTTATTTGATGTTGTTGTTTATTGGGCGCCAGGCCTAATGGAGGTCAAAAAAAAATACCTCACATAATCAACTTAGAACATTAACAATATTTAAGTTATTGATAGAGCAAATTAAATTATAATAGATTAAGATTAAATAATGATACATATTATTAGCTTAAATTTAAGGACAAAATGATACAGAATTTAAGTTTATGAAAAAAATAAAATTTACCAGGAAATCATTCATGAGGAGATACAGATACACTGTGGGCCAAATTTATTTGGAACCCAATTTAGCTCTGAATAACTTTTTTTTTATTTGGCGAATTTTTGTGAAATTTTATGTGAATATTAAGGGGGACTTTTCTTAATTGTAGAAAAAATATATAATCAAAATATACAGGGGGAGCCAAGTAAGAAGCAGTATTTTGATTCGCTGCCTTTGGGGCCGTTGCAAAATTAAATTTTCCACTCTAAAACTATATAAATTATTTGAAAATATTAAGAAATTATCGGAAAAGAGGCTATGAAAAAATATTTCGAAAAACTTCAGGTTTTGTATTGAAAACGTATTTTTTTCGAAAACTTTGTTAAATAATATTACCATACAGCGTAATAGGGTTTTATTAAAAAACAAATTAACAGAGCGAAAATATGATAAAAAAAAGATTTTTCAATAATTTTTGAAGAACCTATTGTGAATATGACCTCCCTGGTTATCTACAACAGCTTGGAGTCTTCGTCGCCATGGAATTTCATCGTAATGATGAATTATAGAATGTGATTTTAAATTTTAAAAAAAATATCTAAAAAAAGGAGGTACTTTCCCTCAAAATAATAAATACATATTGGAATATTGAATACCTACTTTGCACAATTCTATACTGTGTGACATAGAAATTGCAACACCCAGTAAATGTAAATATATTTTATTGATATTTTGGGAACTAGTTAGGATAAATATGATTAGTAATCAATGACATTTTGAAAGAAAATTGAAAGGAATTCCTATTAATTCAATAGTCAGTTGCGCCTCCACGCAAGTTTTGGTATTCTGTAACTCTTTGTGGCATGTTGCGAATCAGATTATCGATATTTGCCTGTGATAGGTTCTCCCAGGCAGATCTTATCTCATAACGTAAATGTTGTAGATTCAGTAGATGTGGCAACGGCCTCATCCTACTTTCTACCTATCATATCCGAGACATGTTCAATAGGCGATAATTCTGGTGACCTTAGAGGAAGTTTTTAGTAACTGCAGTGGCATTGTCTTGTTGAAAAATTGGATCTTGCAGTTGCTGAAGGTAGGGCAACGTAGAAAGAGTCCGTCGCAGACGTGGACAAAGGCACCAACTTCAATTTTGCATGGAGAGTGAGACTGCGCTAACTAGGGGCGAGGGACGTTATAGCTTGAGGCGCCATAGCAGTTCGAAACAGGTCACATCTAGTTTTTTTGGATAGAAACATGAACGCTCATTCCTACATTGATAACGTATTACAACCTGTCACGTTGCCCTACCTTCAGCAACTGCAAGATCCAATTTCTCAACAAGACAATGCATGTGGTCCCATACCGCTGCAGCTACTAGAAATTTCCTCCAACAAGCTAATGTTACCCTTCTTCCATGGCAAGGTCACCAGACTTATCGTCTATTGAACATGTCTGGGATATGATAGGTAGAAGGCTGAGGCAGTTGCCACATCTTCTACTGGATGTACAACGTCTACGTCATGAGATAAGATTAGCCTGGGAGAACCTACCACAGGCAGGTATCGATCATTTGATTCGCAGAATGCCACGAAGAGTTAGTTACAGAATGTCAAAACTTCCGTGGAGGCGCAATAAATGTATATCTACATTTACTGGGTGTTACAATTTCTATGTCATGCAGTATATATTATAGCGTTGAATTATAGTTAGGCAGTGAAGGCGCTTTCAACATGGATGGTTCATATTATGAAAACCACTTGAAATCAGTTGCGAGCGCCTGTGAAATGTTTGACAATGTACTTGTTCTTGAAGATTATAATCTTTCTCAAATAACGTGGTCCACTAGTGAAGATCTGTATGGTTTATTATAGCTGGAAATGTAAGGTCAACTAATGTTATATGATGGTACTGCCTCTCTTAGTCTGACTCAATATAATGGCGTAGCTAACGATCATGATTCAATCCTGGATTCATGCCAACTTTGAGCTTGTTTCAATTGTAATATCTGATACGGTTTGGTGGGCTGTGATCGTTATCACCCAGCTCTACATAGAGTTTTCCATACCTGTTGATAAAGCTAAATTTCTAATGCCTCTTAATTATCTTTCCTATGATTTTAAAAATGCCAATTACGATGAATGAATCTAAAAAACCTGATTTTTCAAAAGAAAATTTCGCACAAACAACACAAGCATTCGAATAGTGAAATGGATTATTTTGCATTTAACACACTTCAGATGGAATGTATAAACCTCACCAAGGAGGGCTACAAATTATTATGTGATACTGAAAGGTTCCTAGCTCGGGTCATAGGCACTAATGTGAAAGTGTTCTGGAACTTTATTCATTCCCAATCTAATCAGGGTAATATTCCCAAGGAAACGTTTCTGGCCACAGAAAAAGCGTCCAGGTCCAACGGAGTTGACATAGCATCTTTTTGGTCTTTATTTTTCCTCTGTCTATAACCCCCAGAGAAATTCCAACGCCAGAACCTTTGCTGATCAATTTTAGAATGTTTCAAGCATTGTCATAGACCCAACCAATATTGAGAAGGCTTTAATGCAAGGGGACAGCAACAAGTCTGCAGGACTTGATGGTATTCCTAACAAAGTACTAAAATCTTGTTCTAACACTTTGTGTCTCCCTCTATTCATTACTTTCAACAAATCCTTTACTTCTGGAATTTTTCCAGAAATGTGGAAGCTTTCTTATGTTTGTCCTATTCACAAGTCAGGCAGCAAGAATGATGTAACAAACTACAGACATATCAGCATCGTGTCTGCAATTCCTAAATTATTTGAGCAGTGTGTTGAAAATATTCTTTCAAAAATATTTCATCAGATTGTGATTAGTCAACAGCATAGGTTTACCGCCGGTAGATCTGCTGACAGAAACAGCTCTTTGAAAATTTTATAAATTCGTCATTTGATAACAATGCAGAAACTCGTGCAATACTGACTTCAGTAAAGCCTTTGATAAGGTAAACCATAACATCCTTCTTTCAAAGCTCTCAAGTTATGGTGTTTTTGGACCCCTACTTTCATGGATGAAATCTTACCTTACTAACAGAATGCAACAAGTCAAGATCGATGGCTATCTTTCGTCTCATTTCCATGCATCCTCTGGGGTACCCCAAGGCTCTCACTTGGGCCCCCTTCTATTCAGCTTATTTATCAATGATTTAGGATCGTTGTTCTCCTGAAATTTTTCACTCTTCACTGATGATTTGAAGTTGTATTGTCAAAGTGTTCTTGTATAAGATTCAGTAGACTCACCCATAAGGTTTCCTTTCAGTATTGCTTAAGTGATGTTCGCTTGTCTGAAATTTCTTTCATTGAAGATCTTGGTGTCCAACTTAGCTAGATACTAGGCTAATGTTCACAGAGTATTTCGAAGTGGGAATTAACTGGGCTAATAGAATGTTGGGTTTTATTAAGAGAGCTACTAGGGACTTAACAAGTATACGTCCCACATTCTGTGCATAGTTTGGTCACCCTACTATCAGATCTACATCTATAGGCTTAAGAGTGTTCAACACTAATTTATCAAGTTTGCTAGGTACAAACTGTCTCTGAGTGGTGTGATTCTCAGCATTGACTAGACTATGACTTACTTAGACTTAACTACTCTTGTTCGCAGAAGGGAATATTTTGTTTTGGTTTTAATATCCTCAACTACTACATAAAAAGCCACAAATGTCTTGGATTTTTTTATCTACACACTCAAAGTTATCGGACACGAAGTAAATCTTTACTGAACATTCCTTACTGTCGTACTTGGTACTTAATATTCAGTCCTGTTAATAGAATATCTGCCAATGTAAATAAGTTCTATGACAGTCTTGACTTCTTTAGTTTATCCCAAGATAAATTCAAGAAAGGGCCAAGAGAATTGTTTCAGGTTAGATTTCAGATTATTTTCGATTTTAACTCAAATGTATGTATTTTTTTTTTCTTTACACGTAAATAAATGTGTTAGGGTCAACATTTTACTTATGAACATCTACATCTTTAAAAAAAAAGGCATTATTGGAATTTCTGAAAGAGAAGGGATTTTTGATTATAAATACCAAGGTCTACGTCACCGCACAGTATGAGCTAAAGTGACTGCATAGTCTACTTGACCGCACAGTATTCAGTAAAGTAACTTTCCGCACACTATACAGTCTACTTTACCGCATATAGTTTTTATTTAAATTTTGATGGACGGGCAAAAGAAATGATAGGTAAATAGGGTTTCGCAAACATGAGCAGGGAAATTTGATTTGATTCCAACACAAGGCAATGGAACCACATATACTTTTTTTGAAAAATACCCTCCCAGACCTTAGACGGAGATTTTTTTCGACGTCGTTGCTAATTTCCAATAATTTTTTGTTTTTTAAACAGATAAAGTAGTTTACTTTAAGGGGTTTATAAATAGGACAAAATATGCTTAAATATTATATATAAATGTGATTTTTACTTTTACAGTATCGACCCAGTCAATGGAGATGGAGACGTGGTGAAGCCAGGTACACTGCTGCGACAATTCATATGTGATAAAAACTGTTAATTATTAGTTGAAACTTAACGAAACGATTTGCAAAGAAAATCATGATCGAGATTTATTTTTAAATACTCTTCAGTTAGAGTCAGGTTAACTTTCTAGACTTTTAAATAAGTGTGTTATATGTATTTATTACTATTAACTAAAAAATTAATTTTCACAAACAATATATTAACATCATAATTCTATGAGACACAAATTTATGTACTGTAAATATCCGATTAAAGATTAAATATTTTATATCCTACTGAACTATTAAAACCATATAATACCTTGGTTACGGTAATCATAAACAGGGTCTTAACTCCCAAGGGAGTTAAGGATTTTCATAACTCCCAAGGGAGTTAAGGAAGGGAGTTAAGGATATCATAACTCCCAAGGGAGTTAAGGATTTCCATAACTCCCGCTTTTACCTTGAATAGGTAACACTTTGACAAAAAATAGAAATTTTGATTTATGGCTTATTCCTTTATAAAAATAGACAGAATACAGTAAATTCAGTAGGATATAAAATTATCTATGTACCACGGGAATTATCAGGAGTTAATACCCACGGGCAATTGGTGTCCCTCGGGCCGGAGGCCCTCGGGACACAAACGTTGCCCTGGGGTATTAACACCTGCATAATTCCCTTGATACATAAATAACTATTGTTGCCCGACTTCTACACCACAGAAAAATAGTGTTTCTTCTTTCATAATATTAATAAAAATAATAATGTCATCGAACTGAATAATAATAATAGGCCCTTTTACTAGTTTTTGGAATAAGCAACCAAAAATAGAATTTTCTGCACCCTTACTTTTGGAAAACGTCCTTTTTCAGAAAATAAATAAAAAAGAAAACTCTCTTAATAAAACATGCAAGTATTTCAATTTTAGTAAAAGAGCCCATTTGCGTTTTTAGAATTAATTAAGTATAATTTTACTCAATATGTTTTTTATTATACTCTGTGATAAGTACTTTGTGAATTTTGATTACGTCCAAAATTAGTTGACTTTTTATATTATATAGGTATAATAGAACAAATATAAGTATTATCCGTTCACAATCCGATGTCCACAGGTAGGTACAGGTAAAATCACCTTTCAATGCTATTTGATAGGGAAAGGTGATAAATTTACCTGCACCTGTGGACATCGGATTGTGAACAGGATATAGATTTAATAGCCATTTATTTTGTATATATTGTTTTTAAATATTGAACTTTTTTCAATCTCTCTGTTAGTAAATAATGTTTACCAGTCTTTAGATAATATAATATGTAATTTAAGTTAATTTTTTCATGATTCAATCATTTGACTAAGATTTTAAAACAATAAGACTCTTTTCAATTAATAAAAATTTTAATTATTACCAACAAGTTTTTATTTAGGTACAAAATGTCCACCATATTTGCGACTACGTTTTGCTTTTTCCAAGTCCACATCAGGATATTGTTGTTTTAAGGCTGCTATGTCCATGTTGGGGAAACGGTTGAGTAAACCAATCACATGGTTGAAATTTCTCCTAAAAAGAAAAGGTATGCGATTAAAATCCATTATCAAGAAACAAATATAGACAAAACTTACGCCTTTTGTCTTTTTTTATTCAAATATAGTTTTTCCCTATATTTAAGCAAAAATGCTTCATTATCCTTATCATGCTTGAAAAATCGATATTTCTGCTGCCATTTTTTATTCATGTGCTTTGGTAATGGGTATTCAGACATTCTAAAGTAAAAAAGAAATTAATACATATTTTTGAGCAATTGCAAAAGGTACTGACTTATAATAATAATTGAGTCCGAAAGCATTTTTGGTTACTTTGCCAGGCCTTTCTCCAGTTTCTCCAGTTTCCAATTGGTGATAAGCCTTATTCCTTTCTCTCACTACAGCTTCCAGATTCTCCATTGATATTTCCACTTTATCTAACCGTTCAGGATTAGGAAATAATCGAACTTGATCTTTGGCATCCTGTTCCATTGTTAGTAACATGTTCCTCTCCTTCAACAAAATATACCAAAGTTTATGCAAGTCAGTGTTTGATTTTAAGCGCATTTCTTCTTTGTTCCATGCTCTTCCAGTTTTAACTTCAATGCCGCCCCATTTGTCTTTTTGATCGAAAAATTCCATTAAATCTTTCAAAGGAGGAGATGTGGATATACTCCTAAAAAAAGAAGATTTAAAATTTACAAATGCTAGTTATTGTGTGAGTTTATCTCAAAGCTGCAATAAAATTCAAAAACAAAATATTTTTTTTTTTTTATAATTTGCAATCATTAAAAAGATCAGTTGGCCATGAGCTTGTAACCTTCTGAAGAGTTGTATTGAAAGGAAAAAAGAAGAAAAAAATAAATACCTACATGTAAAAAGGCAATATCGAGGGCAATATTTACTTATTTAAAAAATGCTTTCATGTCTGTTATTTGAAAAGTTTTAGTTGTTTAATGTTTTCTGGGAGGCTTTTGTAGTTCCACATCCAGATACAATTGTGTAATAATAAGTATTCTGCTATTAAATGGCTGTTTTCTCTTGGTTGGTGTTAACTATTTTATTTCTTTACGGCTGGTTTATTCACCTTCTGATAAAGTGTCAGGTATGCGATATGAAGGACAAAAACCAAGATAAAACGCAATCTGTAATCCCATTGTCAGCCAGTTATCTGCCAACCAATCGAATTATAGAACGGTAAATTTATCTTGCAGATAGTTACCAACAAGTTTATCTGGAAATGAATAAACCGGGCCTTAGAGTTATGTTAGAAATTTTATCCGCATTATCATTTGATTGGAGTAATATATCGGGTCTTCAAAAAAAAAACAATCAAAGATTGCTATGTGGCCTGACCAATGCATTATACAATTTAACTAGAGAGCTGATATTTTTAAAAAACTTTGTGCTCCTAATCACAAAGCCTAGAATCTTATAGGCCTTATTAACTATAACATTATAATGATTATTGAAACTGAAATTAGCCTGCAAATGCACTTCCAGATCCTCAAACTCGCATTTTCTACTTAATTCGAAATCAATCAGTTGATAAGGGTGTTCATAAATACTGTATTTACGAGTGAATGTTACTATTGCACATTTATCCATATTTAAAGTCATTTTAATATTTTCAAACCATCTAGAAACAGAGCATAGATCTTCCTGCAACAGTAAACTGTCTTCTGGTTGGGCGATAGGTTTAAAGATCTTGAAGTCATCAGCAAATATTAAGCTTGAAGAGTGCGTGACACAACTGGGTAGATCATTTATAAAAAAAGCGAAAAATAAGGGCCCCAATTGCTTCCCTGTGGTACACCTGAACTTGCCAGGAAGGGTTTAGATAAGCAATTACCGACCTTAACTTGTTGGTATCTACATTCGAGATAGGAGTTTATAAATAAAAGAGTTTTTAGAGAAAAGCCTGATTTACCCAGCTTCTCTAATAAGATGCCATGATTAACTTTATCGAAAGCCTTTGCACAATCCGTCAGAATGACATCTAACTGAATCTTGCTGTTTAGTGCCTCGGTTATACTATTTGCCAGTATACATAAATTTGTAACAGTGGATCTTCCAGGTACAAATCCATGTTGTTGATGAGCAAATAAATGTTTAAAGTTTTCAAGAATATCATCATAAAGAATTGATTCAAAAATTTTTGCTAGTGAATTTATGATACTAATTGGTCTGTAATTCTCAATGTTCATTTTGTTTGTACACTTAAAGACAGGTGTAACTATAGACTCTTTCAATTTGGAAGGAAACGTATTATGTTTAAGGGCTAAATTAAAAATTGAAGTTAATGGTATAGCAAGATATTCGGCATAACCCTTGAATAAGTATGAAGGTATATTATCCTTACCTGTTGCTTTCTTTGGTTTTAGTTTTTTTATGGCTGCCATAACAACTTCCTCAGTAATCAATGACAATTGAAAGGTACCCTGATAGTCAAAAATTCTTTCAGCAGAAGAGCACTCGTACACAGATTCAAAATACTTTGCAAAGGCATTCGCTATATCATTCAGTTCACCAACTGCAACATTATTGTACCTCATTTCAGATGGAATGCCCCTAGAGTCTCCCCTCGATCCCACATACATCCAGAAATTTTTTAACCATATATGAAATGTTGTCATTACTGACTTTTTCTACTTACGTGCGCAAAGTAGTCACTTTGCACACTCATTTGCGTGCGCAAAGTTGAACTTTGCGCACGGAAACTCTTTGCACACTCATTTTTGTTACGCATAATTACCATAGTTATACTTGATTTTTCAATATTTTGATGGTTTTTGAATAAACTAATATTCAAAATGAAGGGTTTTAGTTGAACTTAGCGGTTAGTTAACATTATGTTTTGTATCAAAGGTGTCCAAATTGGACCAGCCTGTACTGCTAGGAATTTGTAGAATTTTTGATATTTGGGAGACTCATGAAAATATTCTAGCTGGTATTCTAGGAATTCCAGAAGATGTTAAAAGATTTTTGAGGATTTAATTTAAAAAGACATTTTGAGGAATTCCAATAGATTATAAACGATTTTTGCAGATTCTGATTTGATTGATTTTTCTAATATTTTCAATTCAAAGTCTACTTTTTTAAGATACTAGTAGAAAAAATATTGTTCCTCACACTTGCGCAAAGTGTCTTTCCCGCACTCAAAGCTTATCCGAACTCCGCTTCGCGTCGTTCGTCTAACTGCTTTTCGCGCGGGAAAGTATCACTTTGCGCACTTGTTAGGAAAATGACTATTTCAAAAATTTGAAAATGTCATATTTCTGTCTTTTCATTTTCCTGTCCCAGGATGGGAAATGAGGACGGGAAATTTTTTCCGTCCTCATTTCCCGTCCGCGGACGGAAAATGGAGCAGGGAAATATTTCCCGTCCTCAATCCCTGTCCTCATTTCCCGACCTCATTTATTTGGTTGTCACGAATTTATTTATTTTTTTCAAGAAATTATGGTTAAAAATAAAATAGTATACAAACCTCGACGGGAAACTTCATTGCTGTCTCGAGGTTCAGTTTATCTCGACACTACGCGTCTCCTCGATAAACTATATCGATCAGCAATGAAGCATTTCCTGTCTCGGATTGTAATATACTATTACTGTTCTAGAACGGTTCTCATGTCAGTTGGAACAAGGAAGTTCTGAGGGGTGAAATTTGTTAAAGCTTTTTCTTGAATGAAGACTCGACAAAATATTTATTGTCAAAGAGTTCTCTAAATGGTCATCTTGTACACGAAATTTGATACTATTTTGTATGCTTGCCGGGTCCTTCCTATATATAAAATTAGGACAATACTCAAATACATACCTAGTAACAATGGAAAATGGTTTCAATGGTACAGTTTTTACACTTCCCTGTACTGTTAAGTTGCCGAACAATTTACAAATATTGAAAATTTTATTAGCAGTCCCCATTTCACCCTAAAATGCCTATTTCTTTATTCCTAAATCTTAAATCTAATTCTTATATCACCAATGTTTTCATTTAACATTCATAACATGTAACATCAAGAAAAGAAGTAAATAAATTTAGGTTAGGAGAACAACATCGACTTGCTCGTTGCTGTCTGACGGGTGACGGTTCTGACATAATAGGTCTGTTCCAACAACCGGTTATGTAACGGTTTAGAAACCACTCTAGCTGGGTTCGGGATGGCTGAGCAGAGCAGGGCCGGTATTCTGGTTCTCGAAAACGCTCACCGCTTTTCAGTCACTCGGCACTTCTAATGTAAATTTACATTGAAAGTGCCGAGCGACTAAAAAGCGGTGAGCGTTTTCGGGAACGAGAATACGGGTCCTGGACCCGTATTCTCGAGTAGAGTTGGAGTAGAGTTGGAGTCGCGTTTTTGTTTTGCAGTGTTCTGCTAAAACAGCCCCAAAAAGGTAGTGCATAGAAAAGAGGAAAGGTGAGAAATTGCTGCAAATATTTTACATTAGGTGTGTTCGCACGCGAGTGAATTTCATTGGTTGAGGGCCGATTTCTCAAGCTAGTTCGGCTATTCAGCACGGAGTTGGAGTGGAGTAAGAACAGATTTTTGTCACGTGATCTAGGAGTGATTAGAGTGAAAAATTAATACACGAAGGACCGGAACGGTCGGAGCAAAAGTGTCAAACAGTTGATTTGCTTTGTTTCAAAACAACAGACAACCGTGACTTTACGTTCCAGTTTCCAAATTTTTATTCACTTTTGTCTTTTGTCTTTCGTGTACTAAACTAACTTCAATTCCTCCAGAATTTCCTTGGTTGAGACTAGTTTTCTCAACCTAGTGTTTTCAACCAATGAAATTCGCTCTGACTGGTTTGTGATTTCTGCAGAAACAGACCTGAAGCCTTGTACTCATTACAGTGGCTAAATAAACCTTTACATACAGTGGCGACAATAGAGGTCCCGCCGCCATTTTGTTCCCAACCTCTTGTTACTTTTAAATATGAATTTATAGGTTTTAAATGGACATCTTTCATAAAAAATTAAAATCGGCATATTTGATGACCATTATCAGGTTCATCAAATACGTTGTTTTCCATGTTTTATGATGGATGTTCACCTAAATCCTATATTTTCATATTTAAAAGTAACAAGAGGTTGGGAACAAGATGGCGGCATTTTCAATAGCTTGTGGCTTGAAAACAGTCTATATAGGCAATTTTTCGCGAGGATAATCAATCAAGCATAATTTATCGATTATGCTTGATTATGTGATGTGTGAATTGTGTCATACCATACTCCCCCAACTCTCTCACCATCAAATTCTGGGATACTCGAGAATCATCAAGAACACTTAATTTCTTGTGAGAAAACAGACCGAAAATTATTTTTTCTACATTTAAAATCGACGAAAAAATTCACAAACTCACTAGCACAGTCTGAATCGCGAGTATTCCATCGAGGTCTGCGGGTGATGTCGTCACTATAAGCTGCTGATAGTGACGTCACTCGCAGGCCCAAAATTTGATGAGGATGGAGTTAGGGGAGTAGAGTATGACACAATTGACAGTTTATCAGTTTATGGCCGAGTTCGTTTTTGTCATCTTTTTCGTCGATTTGCTCCGAATCAAAATTTCGAAGCAAATCGACGAAAAAGATGACAAAAACGAACTCGGCCTTCTATATAGTACCTATTTATATCTCACTAGATTCTGATTGACACATTACATAACCCAGCATAATCAGATAATGCTTGATTATCCTCGCGAAAAATTGCCTGCAAGCTTGAGAAAGTTGTTATAAAATTTTTGAGCATTTTAGCATTTATCAATGTTCGAGTTCTCGATACTCCTGTTGTTGTAAGGTCTATTTTCAAGTTTTCAACATTTTACGCTCTCACACAAATCATATTTTTTCTAGTAAATACATATGTACTAAAAACGTAAGGTAATGTGTACCACAAGTATTCATGGCGCGTACGTCCCTGTACGCAGGGGCGTGCCGAGTTTCTTGGGGGCCCTCCCGCGAGATTTTCCTTGGGGGCCCCGAACAGTTTTGGTAAAAATAAAAGTTAACCAAAGACATCATAAAAATGCGGCACACTGTGAGCACTGGCACAGGGGTCAGTTAATTTACCACGCTCCTCCCCGTAGAAAATTACTGGATAAAAATAATCCCATAATTTTGCTCTCATTTTGCTCCACTAATTTCGATTTTTGCTCCATTTTGCTCAACTAATTTCGATTTTTGCTCCATTACAGGAGAGACTATGTGGCTTATTAAGTGGGGGGGGGGGCTGAATAAACGCTTGCCCCCCCCCCCCTACTGAAAATTCAGAAATTTGATCATGCTCATCTTGTTCTCCGAGTTTTGCTCCATGATCGGCGAGTTTTGCTGCATTACCAGGAATGTCCTACAGAGCTCCCAAAAATGGGTATGTTCAAATTTCAAAATTTTTTCCGGGGGGGCTAGAAGAGATTTTTGGGAGCTCTGTAGGTCTCTCATGGTAATAGAGCTAAACTCGCCGATTATGGAGCAAAATGGAGTAAAACTTGAAGAACAAAATGAGCATGATCAAATTTCAAAATTTTCACTAGGGGGGCTGGGAGAGATTCTTGGGAGCTCTGTAGGTCATTCCTGGTAATGGAGCAAAACTCGCCGATCATAGAGCAAAATGGATCAAAATTCGAAGAACAAAATGAGCATGATCAAATTTCTGAATTTTCAGTAGGGGGCAAGCGTTTATTCAGGCCCCCCCCACCTGATGGGCCACATAGTCTCTCCACTGTAATGGACCAAAAATCAAAATTAGTGGAGCAAAATTATGGGATAATTTTCATCCAGAAATTTTCTATGGGGGGGGGCTAACTTAATTGACCCCTGGCACAGCCATGACACAACACGATCAGTGTTGCCGGTGTGAGCAAAATTATGGTGCGTTGGAGTCTGGGGTGGAGTAAAAATTAAATGATTCTAGTTAAAGTTAAAGCCATGGAGTACCATTTTTAGAAATTCCTCACCAGGTGCGAGTGCTCGCTCATTTAGTTTTAGTGAATTTGATTGTGGTTTTCGCCGAGTTTTTCAAATGTAGAATTGTAATTGTTTTTTTTTAATGTTCATGACTTTTTTAATGTTCATAACTTTATGATATTTTTTAAATTTTTAATTTTTTTTTGTGTAAATGTATGTTTTTTCAATATCTGGATTAATTGGCGTTGTGTGATTGTGTAATTGATGGTGTTTATGATTGCAATTGTGATTTTATTTTTTGTTTTTTTTGTTGTAGTCCTGATTGAAGCGTTTAAATAAACGCGAAACGTCGACAGGACAGAGTGAGATATTCAGTCTTTTCTTTTATTGTCTTATTAACCGACGATCCCAACTACTAATTACATTTGAAGGGCACGAACGACCAACCAAACGCGTAATAAGTTACTTTGGGCTAAGGCCCCATACCATCTGCCGCCTAGGGCCCGGTAGAGCCTTGAACCGGCGCTGGTATTGTTAGCGGTACCGTATTAGCGTAGCGTCTGAAGCACGAGAACTCTTTATTGTGTCAAAAATTCTCAATGCTGATATTTGTGTAAGTGTGTCAGCTCATAATTTAAAAAGTGACATTTGTAGTGCGGAAAAAACTTTTTTCCGCACTAGTGCGGAAAAGTGAAACTTTCCAAACTAAAATGCACGGTCGTAGAAAAAATATTTTTACTTCCGCTCACGAGTGGAGGTAGAAGTCTTTTACTTCCGTTGTCCATAGTAACCGTCAAGTGACATAAAAGTTAAGCTTTAACATCATGAAATTAGTAGATAAATGTCAGGTTTTTTGACGTTTAAAGAAAATAGTATAGTATTGTTTTATTAGGATTAAGTTTCTAGATATAGGATTCAAATGGACATCTATCATAAAAAATTGAAATCGACGTATTTGATGACTATTATTAGGTCCATCAAATACGTTGTTTTCCATGTTTTATGATGGATGTTCACCTAGATCCCATATATTCAGATTTGCAATAAGCAATAGGTGGGCACAAGATGGCGGCGTTTGCAATATAAATACATGGGATTTTGGAACCAATCAAAAATAAGACAGCAATTGTCGCCACTGTGGGTAATAGAGTCACTGTAATCTCTTATACAAAAAATACTATCAGGAAGATCTGAAATACGTATCGGGGGATTTGAGGGGGAACCAAAATGAGGCAATTTTCGAGTCACCCCGCCTCACCCCTTAGGGGGTAGCTACCACAACTTATTTTTTTCAAATACGAACCTACCTTGTGTTGCACATCGTTCGATAGCTCGTTGCTATCCCTTTACAGTTATATAGCAAAATCTTGAATCGGACGATTAGTTTTTGAGCTATCGGTGTTTGAAAGTGAGCATATTTTGAAAACTAGTAATTTTGATTATCTCATAAACATAGACAAAAAAATTCTGTCATAAATGTCTCGAATACACATCCGCGAAACCAAATAATGTGTTTATCGTAATTCTATCTGCTTCTGCACGTTTCTAAAGACGAATAAATAACCTTCCAAAGGAGCTATCACACGGGGTAAGTTCTCATTTTAGAAAAATTATTAGGAGCGGCTAGCCCCCAAAACAAGGGGGTAGAGGTTATAGGCAATAAACACATTCGGTTTCCCCGATGTGTATTTGACACTTTTATGACAGAATTCTTTTGTCTAAGAGATAGTCAAAATTACTACACTTTATTTTTTCCCAAGATAGATTTTGACATTGAAAACTTTGAAACATAAACAATAACGCTTGACCCTGATTGGTCGCAAAATGAGGTGTTTCTGCAGGTTGACATCAGTTTTACAATAGCGACCAATAAGCGGCATTGACGGCATTGTTTATGTTTCAAAGTTGACAATTCCAAAATCTATCTTGGGAAAAAATAAGCCAAAATATGATCATTTTTAAACACCGATATCTCAAAAACTAATCGTCCGATTTAAGATTTTGCTATATGACTGTAAAGGGACAGCAACCAGCTATCGAACGATGTGCCACATAAGGTAGGTTCATATTTAAAAAAAAATAAGGTAGCGTAGCTACCCCCTAAGGGGTGAGGCGGGGTGACTCAAAAAGTTGCTCATTTTGGTTCCCCCTCTAATCCTCTGATACGTATTTGAG